TTGGTTGTTTCATGGTGTAGGAACTGTTGCATTAGCCATATTTTCAGAGTTTGGATTAAAAAAAAAAAAAAAAAAACAAACCAAAAAACACCAGAAAGCATTATTGCCCCTGACTAAGGATCCTGGCCCTAAAGAGCTGTGTAGTAGGTGCTGGGGATGAACAAATGAGGAATACGGCAAATCAGTGATATAAAGAAAATTCAGCAGCCATTTAGGGAAAGCACAGCCCATTTTGTAGCATGACTCAGTAAATCTAAGAATCTAATTCCTATTATATTACCCTTCTCTAATTGAAAAAAAAAAAAAAGAAAAGAAAAAAATTACTTAAATTTTTTGAAAGGTGAATTGATTTGTAGAGGGTTCAGTTTCACAAGCTCACAGACACATGAGAGTCGCTGTGGTTCAATAAATTAAACAAAAAATGGAAATACCTTTGGGTATTTTCTGAGTTTCTCTATGTTTTAAAATTGAGGTGAGTCAAATGATACCAAAGACAGTGAAATTTTGCAGGTTTTTTTGTCAAAATTCTTGAGAATTTTCTAGATTCTGTAGGTTTTTTTGGATGAAATATGAAGACCATTTTAAAACAGGTTTTTTTCTAAGACTGCCTTGTCAAAACTGAGTCCAAGTATAGCTGGAAAAAACTTGAGATTTTGTCCTAAAAGAGCAGTATGGATCCATGTTCTCTTGCCTAAATCCCACTAACAGTGCTACCAGGATGTGATAAAGCAGAGATATGACTCCAGAGAAATACATGACTGTCAGCTCCATAGATGTGTGTACAGACAGCTTCAAGCCTTTCATGAGATTTACTATTATTTTGTAAGGTGAAGACAAGATATACATGATATCTGCTACAATAGCAGAAGATCCAACAGCATGTCAAGAGCAGTGAGTGAAGGCATTGGCCACTCAAAAAAACTCATCAGGAATTTCTGGAACACCAGCAGCTTTTCAGCAATGCTTGCAAATCACAAATGTCACATTGTGATAGACTTCAAATAATTAAAAATGGCTAAATATGCTGCTTGTAAATGGGCTTGTTGAAAACTTTGATCACAGACAGAAAGGAATTCTTTTAAAAACCTACTGTTAAGAGTAGGTAAAAAGTTAATGAGAAACATGTAAATAATTAATTCTTCCTCTAGAGCCAGGAAAGATTTGTTGTTGCTGCTAATAGACTCACAATATAGGTTGTGTTGTCTTTTCTGAAGTAGGCAGAAAATAATTTATTGCGCCAATAGCTTTATTAGTGTTTGTATTCCCAGTAAAGAATATTTCCTGGATTAACTAAAGCAGCTTGCCTTGGTGATGTACACAGGATGGTAGGGCTAAATTGACACTTCAAAATAAACAGCATACTTCAGATCAAAAAAACATTGAAGGAAAAGATTCAAAAAGAAGTCTGGCACTTTGTGTTTGCAAGAAAGCAACTGCGAAGCACACAGAACTAGTTGAGATGATCCAATTGTAATACTGCATTAAAGCATGTCACCTTCATGCATGTGATGTCCTTTGAAGCAGCATCATCAGGAGAAGTAATACCCTTCCTTTACTTACACATGTAGAGTATGCAGAGTCATCACAGCTTGATGTCACTCAGGTCAAAAACACTTACATGATCCCAAGTGTTCAGACATGGTTATTTCACAACTGAACTGAAAATATACTCTCCCTATATTATTTGATAAATATTTTGGCAACATTACAATAATCTCTCATGTGACATTATGATACCAAGTAATGTGATAGCTCTCAGCTGTCCTGTTGAAAATAATTCCTACTTAGCTCTGCTGAATTTACAAATTTCATTCAAGCTTGCCGAATACATTCTCTGCATAGTATTAGAAGCTGTACTATCTCAGGGACAATAAACCAGGGGATAGCTTGGGGATAGGTAACAAGTTTAAAAAATGTGTAAAAATCGTCTTCCAAGTTCTTTCTGTATAAGGTAGACAATCAGCTCCTGGCATGGCTTCATTCAAGTGTGACAGACACTGATAATATTTAATTATAATTAACTTACAGTTTCTACTGCTGCTTCTGCTGCTGACAGAGAAAATGCACCATGGCTATCTGACACTATTAATTTGTAAATATAAGTGAATGAATATATTAGAAAGAAGGATTTTTTTTTTTTTTTTTGAGGGGTAAAGTTGGTTTCTGAGGCTAGGGAGGATTTACCACCATTCAGATGTAAAAATATACATTAACATTAAAAAGAATCTAATCTAATAGCCACCCAGAAAAAAAAAACCCTTAAGTATCCCCAGTGAGTCTTTTCAGCTGTGCTTGCACTGATCTTTACAGATCTGGCCTCTGGCAAGGCCCCAGCAGGGATGCTGCAGCCACACCTATGCCCATAATGTAATAGGACCTGGCCTAATCTTGCACCTATCCTCAGCCTTGCATTAATGAGCATTCCCCCAGTCTTCATATACCCTGTGACAAAATGGCCAAGTTCTTCATCCAAACTCACAATCCCCACCCAGCAGCATGTTGTTGTGTGTGGCGCTGTGCCATCTCCAGGCAAATCTTTGAAGCTGAGGTAACAGATGACATCTCTTCTGGATATTTCTTCCTGAAGAATTTTAAAATTCAGTAGCACCCAGCAGGAGCACAAGAAGCTGAATGACTTCATCCTTTTTTTGTTTTACCCCGTAGGGGTCTGAAATAGCTCCAGGCATCGATAGTTTTTATAACTTCATAAAAACTCAAAGCGATGATGGAGTTGAGGGAGTCTTGATTAGCTCCAGCAAGTCTTTCTCTGCAGAAAAAGGAAATCTCACAGTGTTTCATGTGAGGGCTGTTCCTCTTCTTCATTTAAGGGACAGTAACAGATTGTCTCCCCACATCAATGGATGCATGTTTAGCCTTGTTTCTGACTCCTTTGAAAGCTATTCTCTACTGATCCAATTGTTATCAAGTCTCTGGTCATTTGGAGGGTGGAGGGCAGCAAAAATGCTCAATGCAATACCAGACACATCATGATTGTTTGTGCCTTAGGCCACAGAAAACGACTGCCTTAACCGTGTTTAGCTGAGTTGATCCTCTTGTGGCTTTTCAGATCCTTTTTTGCAGAATACCATCTATGTATCACAGATACATTGTTACTGGAAATGGTTCGTATCAGAAATAAGCGTGGAAGGAAGCTACAATAAGTCTAACACACCCAACAGCAAGAAATTCTGCAGCATTTATACTTCCTGCAAGAAAAATTTCTCCTTCTTTGTCACATGCTGTTTCCCACATCTGGCCATGGCGTGCATCTCAACTTGTCAGTGGACGTTGCTATTTCTAGGTTTCTGCTTTGCAGGCTTGATGGGGAACTGTGTGTGACCTAGCAACAGATCTGTAAGAGCAAATAATATCAATCCTGATGAGAATAAAATTAATACATCTTTTACAGGGCACAGCTGCTATACTGGTGCTGCTCCCTGCACAGAAACATTATGAAAAATATTCCCTTTTTCCCTATTCATGCCACGCAAGGCAGTCATTTTTTTATTACATATCTACCTATCTATTACATAGAAAGCAGCCTGGAAAAGCATCAGTCAATATTAATAATAAAAACAATGAAGAATTACATGGTAAGGGCATACCAAGCATGTTCTAGTATGTACCAAAGAAGCTGTGGCTGAGAGTCACACCCGCTTTCATCTGTACAACCTCTCTGATCACTGTATTAAACAGCTGCCCAGTAGATGGTGGTGTTATTTCAACTACTTTGCTCTGTGCTCTCTGGGAAAGCAGTCAGACTGCACAAAACAGCTATGGGAAAAGCTGCTTCAGGTTTTTGCAGCTCCTAGGATGTCACTTATAGGTTGTTTCCTGCAGCATTCCGATATTCCTTCTTGTAGAAATAAATGTTTCTGAGATCTATACTAAATTAAACATTCTTACAATTGTCTTGATGAAGATGCCAGTGACAGGAGGAAGGGTGCCATCTCACAAACAGGAAGAAATATTTTTTTGAAGAATCTCTTTTCCAGAAATTTCAGTGTGCTACAAGCTGCACTCCAGCCCTGGTCTGGTAGTGTAAGTACCTCCTTCTGGGACTTCCAGTCTTCTCCAAAGCTTATGCGGGATACCTTAATTATTCATGTTTCTTTGCAGCAATACCCTGTCCTTTCTTTCTCAGTTCTTGTAACGTTTTTATTCTTCTTTGCTCCTGCCCCTCCTGAGCAGATACTTCATTAGATTTTCTCACTCTTGCGTCTCTTTTTGCAGTCTATACTGTGTCCTTTTCCTTGTCAAGATGCTGGCCGCATCTAGATATATAATACTTCAGCTCCTGGCTGTTTGGCTGTCATGGAATAAGATCTCATGAAAGAGCAGTAAATCCCATCACAGATTTGACAGTGTTTCCCCTTTGGATGGGAGCTTGAGGGGTGAAATAGCATTTTAGGATGGAGTCTCTCTCTACAAGCACTAGATCAAGTTGTACTTAATCTTTTTGCTAACTTTAAAAACTGTCATAGCTGTTGCAGCATGACAGGGTCAGTCATCAGCTGGAAGTGATCATCCAAAGGCAGTTTGATATATTTGTCTGCTCAGTGGATGATATTGAGTCAATTGCAGTCTGACACAATATCTGGAGACTAGCTTATATTTGCGGTTTGGCATAACTCGTACATTCAGTGCATACTTTTTGAGTTGTTCTGTGTATTTAGCTAGCTGGCATGTATCTTCATGAATACTTAATATGAGCTCAAAGTCTGAAACACCATGCAAGTAATTTTCCTGATGCCAGCATGAGTGGATATTTTTTATACTTGTTTAGGTCTCAGTGTTTCCATATTGTAATGCTAAAAAAAAAAAAATAACTGATTACAAATATTATATACTACCTAGAAAACTTAGGACCAACCCTGTTTCTTGGATATGGCAACACCTTTAGGAAGACCTAGGAGTCCAAGCAACTTTTGACACGAGTGCCCTTAATGACCTACAGTAAAATAGAGTTCAAAAAAAAAAATATATCTATGTCAACATACTTTTGCTCAAACTCTTTAATCATGAACTGAGCTGCTGCACTTCTTACACCACCACTAGCCCAGGCAGACCTGTGGCTGGATGCAGGGGGAGGCTGGCACAGGTTGGCCACCCTCAAGCCAGCTAGTCTGCTGCTGCTCCTGTATCCTGCATCTCCTGGGAACTGCAAAGACATGCTGCACACCAGGACGTTTGTATGACAGACCAGCATCTCCTCAGCATCGCATACCACAAAGAGCATCTGACCTCTCCAAGACAGTATGGCTGTTGCTGTGTGGCTGCAAACCTGTCCACCATTGGGCAGTTTCCTCCAAATGGTGCCAAAGGCAGGAGTCCGCATCCTCTCATCATTCTTTAGGGTCTGACAGCTTCCATGGAGGAGTGCTCCTCCAGTTGCACTGCCTCATAGAGCTCCCACAAGCCTTTATTCCCATTCCCTGCCCCTTCCCAGGGAGTGAAGAGATGGCTCCAAGTCAGCAGCTCACTTGCAGTGTGCTTTGCCTAAGGCTGCATTTGTTTCCTTCAGACAGGCTGCATGGAGATGGCAGTGGTCTTGCCACCTCTGGCACCTCTGGCCCTAGTGGGAGCTCCCATAAATCTCAGAGTTTTAGGGCACCTGCAGTGCAGACACAGCTTAAATCTGTGCACAGGACCCAACCTTCTGTTTCCAGTGTGTCCCCTCAACCACCACAGCCCACACACAGTCAGGGGGCAGTTGTTAGTGTAGTGCTGTAGCCTGAGTTGCAGTTATCCCAAGGAGACAGCCATTCACATCCACTTATCCATGCAGGGTAAGGTATAAAGATGTAGAACACATGAGAATGAGGCTGATTGAGAAGAACAGAATATATTTTTTTTTAATATGAGGCAATTTATATGTAAAATATTGGTAATAAAAAAAAAGCCTTAAATACAATATTCAAATTTTAGCAATAAAAATCCTGTATCTGACAATGATAAATCAGAGCATTAAAAACATGTCAGTCAGAGAGCAGATGGTTTTTGCAGGGGAAACAAGTTTTGTAATGTGGAGTTAAAATAGTGTTGACATAAACAGGATCAGTCATGTACAGCTGGTCGGTGTCCCCAGCAGTGCCAGGATGGGAACTGAGAAGGTGCAGAAATACTTCACACTGCAGTGTGTTGCTATGGACACAAAGACATCACCAGGGCTGCCAGGACTGTGTGTTTACAGGGTCAGACTCCATACTGCCCTTAAAATGATGGGAGCTACTTGCTGCTCAAGTGGTAAATTCTATTGAATTGACCTTAATAGGAAAATTTTAAGTATTTCTTTCTTTTTTGTGTTCCAGAACCCAAATGACTTCATTTCCAAATAGTCTAAAATAATTCATAAACTAAACAAGTCTTACCTAATTACCTCAGTGTACCCCTGTATGAAAATAGCCTTTGAATCACACATGTCCTGGTCTTTTGGATGGCCTTCTACTGCACTTGATTTCTACATGGATGATCAGAAAGTAGCTTTTCATGTAACCTGAGGAAAAAGAAATGAAGGAGATCTCTCAAAGTGGAATACATAAGCACTTCCAATGCTTATAGAAAAAGCACCCAAAAAATCACTAAAGAGAGTGGAATCAGTGTATACCATACAGCCACAATCTCAGCCTGAAATGAACTTTTGACAGATATATAGGAAGTGGGAAATTTCACTCATACAATCCAAAGAACAGGGTCAGAAGCTAAATTTCATGGGAATTAGACTTTTAAGTATTTTAAGTTTTGCTTGCTTAGAGCACTGGGCTGAAATGCAAAAGGTTTTCTAGTTTTATGGTTTTGTTTTTGTTTGGTTTTTTGTTTGTTTTGTTTTTTTTTTTCTATTTTTAGTTAAATCTATTTCTAAAGCAGTGATTTGGAGGGTTTAGATGCTGGAAACCAACTATGACATCAAGCAGTCTCAGCCACAGAAGACTTAAACATGTAATACAGTGTGCAATTTAACAGGATTATCAGAAAGAAATAGTTAAGGTTTTGTTCTACTAAATGTTCACCCATCCTTTGTCAAGTATTTCTAATTACCAGGATTTTAATGGTAATGTTTAACAGCCCCAGAACTCCAGGGTTTTTTAATATCTGCCACAACAGAGTTTTCAATTTTCATAATTCTGTCCTTAAATTCTGTCATCATAATTATCCTTCATTACAGCAACATTCTTAAATCTGACTCATCAAAGCAAATTTTTAACTTGTTTCACTGGACTTGCAGCTCAAACTGGGTTTTAACCTCCTAAACAGTCATTTCACCCTACAGTTTTAATGAATAAAAAACCCCTACTTCTCTGGTTTATCACATATGAATGAGAATTGCTGTATCAGTATAAGGGACACACGCTACTTTTTGTCAATACTAAGAGTCAAAGGTTGAGCATTTATACAATTCTTATAATAATAACAGTAACAGCACAGGGTAGAAATCACTAATACTTGAAACAGTCACTCATACCACAGCATGGCTGACCTTCAGAAAACCTAACATGTTACAAAAAAAGGTATTTGTAGAAGATAACAGCCATCTCTCTGATAATTCACCTGTCTTAGAAGAGCAATCCATTTGATATGCTATTAATTACATAAAAAATACTGGAATACCAATAAGCTACAGATCTTAATTTATTTAAATTGCTTATATGCAATTCACTTTCAAAGTGCCTCAACATTTGCACTTGAAAAATGTGATCAGCCTACAAAACATGTTCCAAGTGTCAGATGTTCTATCCTCCACTGGCTCTGACTGACCTTAGTTTGATGGCAAACCAAGATAGAGTCTGTCTTCCTCAAAAAATTGCTTTCAAACCCACTGAAGTAGAATCAGTGTAACCAGCAGTGCACCGCTGTATTGAGTTATTCCCTACCTCATCCTGGAATTACTGAAGTCAATTTTATTGCTGATTTTGTCGGAACAAACTCCAGACCTCTGTGTCTTTGACAGTGTGGTTCCAGAGTCCCTTCTGCAGTGCTTTATCCAAATCAAGAATTCAATTTAATACCTTTAGACCAGGAAGACTACAAAACAAATATAGCTGAAACAAGCAGGTCATGGTAAAGGGTTAGCTACATTATATTGCTTCAAGTACTTGTATGGTATTTTCTCTCTTAAGACTGTGCAGCAGCCTCAGCATAGAAAGTTTGTGAATTAAAATCAGAATATAAGAAATACTACATCATGAGGCTTTAAAATAACTGGCAATCTCACTGTCATCTTCTGTCACTGCCCTGTGGGAGGATGTGTGGTGTAAGGAGATTGCGTGGCATAATAGATGAAGCAAGCCCTGGTAGTCAACTGAGACTTGGAGTGGCTATATAATTTTAGACAAGTTCCTTGACCTTCTTTTGTTTCACTCAAGCCAGCTGGAAAATTGGAGGTAACATAGAGCCAGAGTGAAAACTGGGCATTGCTTGAGCAGTGTTTTCTAGAAAAGTAAATTGAAAAAACATAATTTCATAATGCTTTTTTTTCAGTGCTGTTGTGTCTGTAGTACAATCAACCAACTGTATATATGCAATAGAATTGTATATAGTGTGTATATAGTGTATATGTAGTGCAATAGAAATTTATGAGGTTTATAAATGCATACACTCAGATTTTAGCTGTTGTATACTAACAAGATCTTGCAACTGTCTAAAATCTACAGATAATAAAAAAGTAGTCCATACTCAATTGCTAATTAATCTAAGACCTTCTCTTTACATTTTTATTAATTTTAATGTACTTGGTTAGTGGGCAAAAGACATGATTTATATAAATGCTGCAGTTAGCTCGTTGCAAGAGGCTGTCAGCTATAGCAGCAAAAGAGGCTTGGAAACCTATCATCTGTATGCTGGCTCTCATTAATCCAGTGTCAACTGCACAGTCTCGCCAGGAGGGGACAGTCTGACAGTCTGTTCAGTCAAACACCTGTTTGACTACAGGTGACATACTGGTCAGGCTCTGTTGAGAGATCCTGACTGAAAGGTGTAAAAACTTTCAGCCTGAAGTGAGCATTAAAGCCATTTCTTCATGTTTCACTGAGAAACCTGAAGCTGTTTGGCCACTTTGTGCATGTTCGCATGTTATTGTGGCTGGTGGCCTCCAGTACTCACCTCTGTCTCCCTCCTCACCAGCCATCTCACCTTCCTCTCCAGCAGAAGTGGACTGCAGCTCCTCTTGCAGAGGTTTTCCAATACTTTACCCTGGCTGATCTGGCCTGGTTTAAATGATCACCCTGCTTCAAGCAGGCTGGAGTAGATAACCTCTAGATGTTCCTTCAGCTGGCGTGTCTAGGTTCCCCTGATCCTGGCTGCTCGGTGATATAAAATCAGTTTAGGCACAATGGCGTCTTCTGTAAGCATGAGCAACAGCTGAGCCTTAGTTGCCTCAATAACCAATTTAAGAGGCTGCCTTGAAAATCCTCAAGAGTTCACGTTGATTTACATTCTCATGTGAATTCTTCTGTGTGTGCAAGCCTGGCTTACTCATAGTGCCTCTCTATCAAATTGCCTTTGATCCAAAGTCTTCAACTGATGTAAATGGGAGATGGTGGAAAACGTTTCTAAAAAGAATCGTGGATAATATAAAATGTGTTGTCAATCTAAGATGATAGCTGAGTTATAATAAACTTTTCTGTCTCAGATAACTTCCTAAGCAGCTGCTAATGCAAGAGTAGCAGCCTGAGAGTAGTTTTGTTCTTCCTTTTCAGTAAAACTCTTTCAGTTGTCACAAATGAAAGTGTAGGATAATATTAGCTTCAGGGCTAATCTACATTTATGAGATCAATATGATTTAATTTAAAGTCTAACTATATAAATATCTGTATTTTAAAATCAAGTATAGTAAGGAAATATGGCTGGCAATAACTAAAATAATATATGAAGATACCAGTAATACCACATGTATGCATATGACAAAAGAAGTAAGTAATTACAAGGCATGGCTTATATAGTATTACTGTACTGGAAATTAGAGCCCTTTTATAATATTGCAAAGCAAAGATGAGTATCTTTATTTCCTGTTGGCATTTTGAGAACCACCCCCCATACAAGCTGGTGACCCTTAACTTAATATTGTTAATTACCATCAAGACTAATATAAATTTATGCACATGAAAGGATAAGCAAATATATGTGCTTGAATTCACATGGCTGTTTTCATTCAGTTCCAATTTAACTGCTTTTTGTGCCCATAACGTTAAGCAAGATCATGACTTGACTGCTGCCCATTTAAAATATTCAGAAACTATTAGCTACTTAGATGATGAGGTGAAGAAATGTTATCTACATCTAGCTGGTCTTTGGACCCTGGTTTTGGATCCTGGTCTTTGGACCAGTTTTATGCTGGAATTC